GCGTTGTCCTTCGTCGCCTCTTAGCGGTGCCTCCCCGCGGTCCCCTCAGCCCTTTCCCCTTCCCGCGGCGCTTCAAAGCCGGGCAGAGGACAGCGGGGTCTGTGGCTCAGCAGCAGTTCCGGCGCTGTGATATTCTAATACACAACATTATTATTCTCTGTAACGTTACCGCTGTGGTGTCGCTGTGTTTGCGTGGGGGAGTGAAGCGCGGCCCCTCCTGCGCCGCCCTGCCCGGGGTGGTGCAGCAGAGCGGCGCTTCGGAGGGTCCCTGCGGCAGGGATGGCTGTTGTCACGCAGCCACTGGCTGTAGGCGGCAAAGGGGAAGGTAGGGCATGGTCCACTGTGCGCTTGGGTGTTGCTGGAGTGTGCGGGACAAGCGGGTGTCCCTCTCTGGAGCCACTCTCGGGTGGCTGCAGATGTTCTGACTCTTGTGCAGGCAGCGAATAACCTCAGAAGCCCCCAGAGCCTTGGCCAGTACAGGCGCAGCAACCCAAATCCCATTAAGAGCCATCAGCGCGTGCTGACGCAGGTTGTAAGTTTAGCTTTGATTAATAGGTCGATCTTCTCCAAGCACAGGAAACCTCGGCTGTATTTATCTCCCTCCCGGATTAGAAGTGGGGATGGACAGCAGGGCTCTAATTTGCCCATGGAGCAAGCTCGATTTGTCATATGGAGACGGCTGCCGGGTGGAGGAAGCAGTAGGCACTGGCCCCAGCCCTGGGCCTTGTTGCTCAACACCTGGGCGGCACCAACAAGGAGCCGTGAGAAACTTCCCTGGTGGTTAATGGGTTTGTTTAGGGTCTGCGAGGGAAAGAACACCACCTTGTGTTCTTCTTTTTTTTGGCGAGTTATATAAGAGACACCACAACAGAGACAGCGGCTGCAATGGGACAGCGGGAATGGTCCATCCCTGCAGAGCCCGGGCGGAGAGGGGGCTCCGCAGGGGAACCTGGCAGCTTTGGGGGTCTGGAGCCTGAACCCCAAGCGTGCCACAGGTTCCTCTGCAGCCGCCTGCTGCTGAGCGCAGTGTTAGCAACAGCCCCTAGAGCTGCTGCAGCCTCAGCTGGGACGTGACGGCCCCAGCTCAGGCTCCCACGGCTGCTGGGGGTTCCCGCAGAGGAAGTGAGACCGAGCGGCAGCAGCGAGAGATTTGAATGGGCCGTGGAGTCTTCTTCCTTCCCTTGCCCTCCCACCAGCGCCGTGGGGCCTGGCAGTCCCTGGCCGTGCTCCAGGCCACCCCCGGGTCTAGCTGTGACATGGGCATCGTGGGGGTCCCACGAGGCCCTCGCTCTGCGTGCTCTGCTCTCTCCTCGTGCGCTTCAGAGGGATGGCCCTGTCCTAAAGGAACGGAGGTTTTGGGGGTGACACACATGATGCACAGTGAGCTGTGGCCTTCGTGGTGGACACGGAGGTGTCTGAAACACCCCTGCTCTTCCTAAGCGATTACAGTGGCAGCCTCAGTCACTCGCCAGGAAGAGACACAGGGGCCTTGGGAGGTTTCCCAGGCTAAAATTGGCGCTGGGGAAGCAATATTCTCCTCCAGCAAGTGAAGAGAAGGGGCTGGGAAAGGTCTAGGAGCCGACACACTTCAGCCCTGCACTTTCACTAAAGACCTGTATGGCTGGTGGCTGCTAAAGCTGCAGAAGTTTCCCTTGCAGGAAGCGAAATCAGCCATGAGAGCACAAAAGCACACAGCACACCGCTGCCGAGCCTCATCTCCGGCGTCTGCGGGTTTGGTTTTATTTATATTCATATATTTCTGCCATCCTTTAGCTGAGCTATGTTTGGGTCTGAGCTCCCCTCCCCAGTGGAGGGTCAGGCTACAGGGAAAGCAGGTTCCTTACAGTCCTGGCTGGGTGGCAGGCAGGGCCCCGTGCTCGCGGCAGTGTCAGCTTATTGTACAGCCGCCCTTCTCCTTGAAGGGGTTCTTGTCCTCGGGGATGCCTTTCAACAGCGGGTCCTCTCCTGCCATGGACTCGATATATTCCTTGATCTCTTTGCCAGTCTTGGAGACCTGCCGAGGAAGGAGACACTCTGTGTAGGTTACATGTGCAGAACTGCAGGACTGCACTCTGTTCATGCCATGGGCCAGAGTAAAACTGCTGCCTGTCCCACCCAGCCCTTTGCATTTGGGTGGAAACACTCACCATTTGCCTCTCGTTCTTCACCTCCTTCTTCAGCTGGTCAAGTTCCATCTTCAGCAATTCCTTCTCTGTCATATCCTGAGCCATTTTGCCCTGCAGTTATCAAAAAGTGGCCCATTTCTTACAGCTGAGCTTTTCTTAGGGCACGTGAGGGCTATTAACTAACAAATACACTTCAGAAAGTCAGTTAATAAAAGCACATATAGGTGACCAGGGGAAAGACTTTATAGCTAAAACAGAGTTTAGAAGAGCCTAGGGTCCCTGCGGTGCTGTTAGGGGTTAGCACACAGAGGCATTGCTTAGTGCTGGGGATGGTTTGGGGGAGGCTGGCAAAGCCCAGCTCGCTCTTTGCAAAGACCTTGCCTAGGGGGTTGTATGGGCCCCACCCCAGCCCTGTGAAAGGAGCATTTCCCTATCAAAAGTTAAAGTGGGGGTTGAAACCCTGGCTGCAATTTTTTTTTGACAAAAAAAAAAAAAAAAGCCAGCCCATGGGGAAGGAGATGCCTATGCCAAAGCAGAGGCCAGTGCGATGTCCTCCGCGCTCGGAGGATGCCAAGTCACTTACCTGTGGGGACGAGAGTCTCACCCTTTCCGATGTGGAGGTGCTTAGGGATACATGGGCGCTGGCTGCTGAGCCCCCGGGAGCTCGCCGACTCCGTGAGGGCTCTGAGGCAGTGGCGAGGAGCAGATGTCTTTGCTCCCTAAGCTGATAATGGACTCAGGCGACTAAGCTGCTCAGGTGTCAGGGCATTAGCCCTGGAGCCGGGGTAAGCAGTGCTGGGGGGGGTGGCCAGGATGAGGGGGGGGTGGTGGGTGCAGAGAGGCTTTGGGGAGGTGCTGAGTGTGGGTTTTGCGTCATGGGGGACCCAGGAAGCCCCCTGCCTTGGGGATCAAGTGTGACCAGCCCTGCTGGTGGTGGGATCATCCCCTGGTGGAACTGGAGCTGATTTTGGGGAGGGGAGAGGAGCACAGCTGGGTTTTGGGGCTGGGGTTGCAGGGAAGGGGGTCCCCACCTACATGCGGACTGGATCTCCTGGGACTGGGGGCTGCGCTGGCCATGCTGGGGAGGATCAGGCTTGGGGATGTCAGTGCAGCATCCTCGAATCTGGGCCCAAGGCCACATTAGAGGGGGATTATGGAGCAGCTTGTTGCAGAGCTCAAGGACCAAGTTCACCTGACTGGGCCGGGAGGATGGATCAACCCAACTGTATCCTTAACTCTGCCCCCAAGCTCGGGTGTCCCAGGTCTAAGGAATAAACTCGATGTTGGAGGCAGTTCATCACTGGCTCCGACCTGTCCACTTCCCTGGTGCCCTTTCTGGGTGCTCGGGATGACACAGCACCCACCAGTGGCAGCACCGTGCCACCTGGAGTGGGACGATGCGTGCAGGGGGTGACTTCCCACTGGTGCAGGCCTTGGGAAAGGTCACATTTGGGGGATGGCGGAGCACTCACCGCGGCGCCGTGGGAGTGTGTGACTCACATCCTCCCGGCGCGCTTCCCGCCGAGCGGCACGCGCAGACGGCGGGGGAAGAAGTGCGTGCTCACCGCCTTTCCGCAGTGCTGGGGCTGGCGGCAGCCACGGCGCCATGTGACGGGCACATCTCTGCACTGTCCCGGGCGCCGCGCGCACCAACGCGCTTGCATGCAGCAGCCGGCCATGGCGGAGCTGCAGCGGCTGGAGCAAGACCCCATCCCCCCCCGGCCGCAGCTCCTAAAGCCATGGCAACCTGGGCAAGGTCGCCGACTACTGCGAGAGCAATTACGTGCAGGTGTGGCTGGCGGTGGGCCAGGGCCAGCTTGGGGGACATGGCGGGACATCTTGGCAAGGAGATGGGCCCAGAGTGGAGGTGGTTCCATGCTGCCCTACGCCTGGTCCTGCCTTGGGACAGGGGTGTTTGAGTCTTCCTATGGGCTACCTTCTAAGGGCTGATGACTGGGAATGTTACCCCAACTTGGGATGGGGGGGGGTGTGGGAAGTTGAGGAAGATGATGGCTGGGCCTCAGGGAGAACTGGGAAAACCCAGGGATCTGATGCTGTGGGCGCGGGGCTTTCCCAGGGTCATGCAGGTCACCAGGGCGAACGTGCCGGAGCGCAGCGCTCTTCAGCTCTCCCTCCCCCTGCTCCATGGCCTTCCCCTGTTGCCCCAGCCTGCTGAGGTAGGGGAGGACATAGGGGCTTTTGGGGGTGAAATAGGAAGAAAAAAGACTGTTTGGGCCTGGGTTGCTGAACAGGACTGGTTCCCCAGAGGCTTGCCTTCCCCTCGGTGGCTGCACGCGGTGGCACTGCCTGCACCAGGGGCCCTGAGACTGCCCTGAAGGTCCCCACGGACTCACCACCTGCAACAGGCAGTGAGTTTTCCAGAGAGCATCGGTGGCAGAGCCAAGAGCCAGTCCCCATTCTGTGTTGGGAGTAACGCCTTGGATGGGGCAGCCCTGAGGAAGAGTAAAACCCCTCCACTTTCGAAGCCCAGCAATGCTGCTGCCTGCCAAGGTCACACAAGGGGCTTGGTGGCAGTCTGAATCCGAAGCCAACCTGCACGACTCCCAGCAGCCATGCCCGTGCCCCTCTGCAGGCATCTGGTCTGCAAAGCCCTGGTGCTGCTGGAGCCACCAGGCCAACACGGTGTCCAGCTGGATGCAAGGAGCACATTTAAATATGCTGCGCAAATTAGTTGGGCCTGACAGGCGGCCAGGGCCTACAAGTCCAACCACAGTGCAATAACTGCATTGAGAAGAAGTGGCTCCAGGTGTCTCGCTGGACTCCTTCCCTATGGTCCCTGAGGGGAGAGTGAAGGACACACTGGGCTTTCCACACGCCTCTTAGAGGCCGAAATGCCTTGGAGGGGCTGTGTCTTGGGTAGAGCCCAAAGCTCCGAGCATTTGGCTGGATTTTTCCCCCAGTTCCAGCAGAGTAGAGGGTTTTTCCCTCTGTGCCTGACGTCCCTTTGGCTGCAGGGATGGATCTGTTGTGGTGCTCACAGCCCTGTGGGTAGCAGCTCTGCTGCATCTCCAGCCACCGCTTCTCATGGTGATGGGAACCAGGGACCTGCCTCTGTCCCACTGACCCAATTGCGGAAGTCTGATGCATTCAGAAAGCAGAAGAAAATGTTTTAAAACCGCATGACTGCAGCTAAAAAGTGGTGGCCTGAGAGCAGCCGTGTCAGGCTGTCACCCTGTGTCATCCTGAGCTCCCCTGGCTCCCAGGGGCCAGGACTTGGCGCTGGGTGGCCTGGGAACCAGTGGGCATCCCCTTGGAAAATGGGCCTTCAGAAGCACCCAGTGTTGGTCTTGGTGCCTCTTCCTACGCACCAGCAAGAGGACATGCCCCCGCCCCGCCACCTCAGCAGCATGAAAGCCATCAGATTTTGTGGATCTTCCCTTGTGTGCCCAGCCAGGTTGATGTTGGCCAGCGGGTTGGTGCTTCTTACCAGGATGCTTCCTTGTCTCCCAGGCGAGTGACAAGAAGAAGGCGCTGGAGGAGACCATGGCGTACAGCACCCAGTCCTTGGCCAGTGTGACATACCAGATCAGCAACCTGGCCACAAGCTTCCTCAAGATGTTGGACCTGCAGGCGGCTGAGCTCCGGAAGGTGGAGGCCGACATCAACTGCATGGCCCAGGTGGGGCTGTCTTAGCTTGGTGCTTTCTTGTGTTGGGGCCTCATGGGCTGGTGGTTGGGTTGAAAAGGGGATGGTTTCTAGGAAAGGGGCGGGGGGGTGGTCTATGAAGCACAGTAGTGGTAGAGAGGACTGTGTGACAGTACTCGGAAGCCCAGTCCTGCAAGACCGGCCCCACCACCGCACCAGGATCTCCGCTGGGTCAGGGACATTGGCTCTGTTGCCCGGGCATCCCCTCTCCTGGAACTCATCTGCCTCTTCCCGGAGCTGCAGGCACTGGCACAGTCCCACGGCCGGCCCCCTTTTCCTGTTACTTGAAAGTTGCCTGGAGACTTTCCTGTTGGAAAGACCCGGAGCTACCGCTCCGGAAGCAGCTGGAAAATGGATTAAAGGCAGCCAAGGCCCCCATGCTTCTCCTTGCCCGCTACTCTGTGACCATCTCCAGCACATTGGCCACATTGCTGTTAGGAAGGTGGTGGGGGGGATACGGTGACATAACCAACCCCACCATGGTAGTGGGGCTGCAGTTGGGCCACAGAGTGCGGTCTGGAGCTTAAATGAAGCTGCTCCCTTGGGATGTGCCTTCTCTGCCACCCAGGGAACGGGGAGGTGGCTGGTGGGACCTGGAGGTGGCCCTGGCAGGGCTGGGGGGACAGTGCCGGTGTTTGCAGCTGGTCGACATGCACAAGGAGAAGGTTTGCCGCCGCGAGATCGGCTCCCTCACCATCCCCAAGCGCTTCCCTGCCTCTCAGAAGATTGTTTCTCCGGCCACCCCACCCAGCCTGGAGCCCTACTACAGGAAACCCCTCAGCTTCAGTGTCCTGGATGACATCGGGCATGGCATAAAGGTCAGGAATGAGCATCATTTCCACTCCGTGTGTCCCAGGGTGGGACGTCCTGGCTGCTGCTCTGGTCGTGGGAGTTTGGGTGAGCTTCGTGCAAGCTCTGGTTCCTGGTCGTACGGGTGAATCTGGGGTTTGGAGAGCCTCAAATGCATCCATAATGGTGGTATGGAGTGCCCCCTGCATCCTGATTCCTCTCATCAGCAGCACCCAGGGGTGCCAGGGCTCGGCACCCTCAGGGAAGATGGGGAGCCCCAAAGATATAGCATGGGGGGAACACAGTGTCCCCAGGGGGACACAGTTCCTGGGCGCAGCAGAGGCCACGTGGCAGGAAGAGAAGCCGGCGCCTCTGGCAGCCTCCAAGCGGGACCAGCTGCAGGGGCAGGGGTGGGTTGCATCTCTGGCCCGTCTCGCTGCCGGTGCCGCTTCTGGCCTCTGCGCTTCCCAGCAGCCGCAAAGTGCTCCGGGCACCCAGGCTCCCGCCAGAGCCAGAGGAAGTCAGGCGGGGTGCTGCAAGCGAGGCCCCTGCTTCCCTCTGTTGAGTCTTGGTGCAATGAGTTTGTCGGTTGGCTGCTGCTCAGGCCTCACCACTCGCTTTCGTGTCCTCTGTGCCCACAGGACCACAGCACCCAGCTGTCCCGCACCGGCACCCTGTTGCGGAAGGGGATCAAGGCATCCGTGGCGGCTACGGGCACCCTGGGGTGAGGGCACAGGGAGGAGATGGGGAGGAACCTGCGGGGGGGCCTTGAAGGCCCATTGTGGCCATGGGGCTGGTGCGATGCTGCTCGGGTGCCATCGTATCACTGCCACCCAGCAGTTGCTCTGCCCGCAGGAGGGGTCCACGCATCCCTGAGCCCATCCAGCCACCCGTGGTGCCCGAGGGAAAACTGCCTACGGCCTCTTCCTCCTCTTCCTCCTCCTCACTGCTGTCCATCAGGTACTGGCATGGGAGGCATCTGCCATGAGGCATGAGGGGACCCCCCCCTCCTTGGATTGTCCCTGATGGGGAACTCAAGGCCCAGAGTACAGAGCTGCTTTCCCAGGTTTTTGGTGGTGTCACCCTGGACTTGCTCCCCTCCATCTGGGGCTGGTGCTGGTGACTGGGCTGGTGCTGGTGGCTGGTGTGATCTGTGCTGGCCTCATGTCCCACTGTGACAGTTCTGCTTCCCTCCCTGCAGCTCGAGTGGAGCCCCTGGCCCGGCAGGTGACAGTGTCCCCGCACCGCCACTGCTGCCCTCCTCATCTGTGCCACCTGCCCTGGCCCTGGCCACTGTCCCACTGTCGTCGCCACCACTGCCTGGTGACGTGCCATTGCTGGGGGACCTGCCACCACCACCTCTGGGGGACCTGCCACATCCAGGGGACCTGCCGCCACTGCCACCACCAGGGGACCTGCCACCACCGGGAGACCTGCAGCTGCCACCACTGTCCCTGCTGCCCCCTGGTGAGAACAGGGTGTCCCCATGGTACATAGTTCCCTCTGCTTGTACCTGGCCCTGCGCCTTGGTCACCTCTGCGGGTGCTTTGCAGCCCCTGACGACTCAGACTCGTTGCCGCCACCACTGGCTTTGCCTCAAATGGAGGATTTAGCCCTGCCGCCGGCCTCGGAGGAGCCTCCCTGGGCACCGGAGAGCTACCTGGAGAAAGGTACCGTCCCTCCGCCCCTCTGCCCACGGTGACTCCATGTCACTACTGGCCATGCCTGAGCCCCCCGCCATGTCCCTCTGTGTCCCCGCAGTGGTGTCCCTCTACCCGTACACGCGGCAGAAGGACAACGAGCTGTCGTTCGCAGCAGGCGCCCTGCTCTACGTCACGCGCCGCTACTCAGACGGCTGGTGCGAGGGCGTTGTGGGCGGCCAGGCCGGCTTCTTCCCTGGCAACTACGTGGAGCCCTTTTGCTGAGCCCTGGCTCGGCCGCTCCAAGATCCCAATGCTGCCCCCGGCCGGAGTGCTCTGAGGATCCTGTTGTCACCTCTGTCTGGGATGCTCTGCTTGGCTTCAGCTTTGCCTTTGCATAGCCAGTGTTTTGCTCATCCCCTTACTCTGGCCACCGTGGTGGGAGGACTGCCCTGGTGTCCCCTCCTTGTCCCTCCTGCCCTTCTCCTGCCCCAGGCCAGGCTGATTCCAAAGCCCTGGGATGCGGCAGGGCCCCATCAGCACCAAGGGGTGGGCTCAGCCCGGGGCCCTGCAAATGGACTGAGACGAAAGAGTCCCATGCACAGTCCCCAGAGCCACCTCACACCCAGCTTTATGGTCTGGATACAAACAACTTGTGCATCTGTAATGTATATAGATATATATACATATATATGTATTTTTTTAATTCCATGGCTTTAAGTTTGACACAGTTGAGCAGGGTCCAGAGGAGGAAGAACAGAGAGATGGGGGAAAAATAATAATAATAAAAAATATTAAAAAGAAGGAAATAAAGGAGGAAAACCTCAGGGCTGCTTTGGTTATTTTCTTCCTTCTCCAGTTTGCTCTCCAAGTTTCTGCACTTCAGAGTCGCTCCAAGCTGCCCTCAGGGGCACTTAAGGCTGCAGCTAAACCTGGGCAAAGCCCAGCTAAGAAAGCAGCAAAGCCTGTAGCCACCCCCCACAATTAAAAGTGCAATTAAAAGGGGCAATTAATACTGAGAGGCTGGGAAGGGGAGTGGGGCAGGGAGGGTTTCACCCTCCGCACCATCCCTCTAGAAGCACTGAGCACCACGACTCCCGCTCCAGCGGCCAGGAACTTCTGCGCCTCTTGCCCAAGCAGGAGGTAAATCCCACTGAGGGGGAACAGGTGGGATATGATCCAGAAAAGCCCTTGGGACTCTGGAAGTTGCAGCTCTGCTTGGGAGTGGTGCTGCAGATGGCACAAGGCCGGGGATGGAGTGCTCCGCTTTGCTCAGGGGGACGCAGAAATCCTGCCCTGGAATCAGACCTGGCAGCTGGATGTGTCCAACACATCAAACACAGACATGACTGGGGGGACGGGACTTACAAGAGGTTCTCCTGTAGGGCATCATATTTCTGCAACGTTTCCTGTTATTCCCTTCTCGTTTTTCAGCGAACTAAGTTCCCAAGAGGCAGTTAAATCCATTGCATCCTCCTCTGCCTGGCATGGGCCTTCCGGGAAGCTCGAAGGGGAGCGAGACCCCTGGCAGTACGGAGCGACGGGCGAGCCAGGAGGCCAACACTGGCGGAGGCTTTGGGATTCAGTTCCCAGGGGCCTCTTGAAGAGGCAAAGAGCTCTTGGAGCTGCAGGTTCAAGGCAACAGTAAGCCGATCCTGGCATGGCCTGTAAGGATCAGAGGGAGGAGAGAGACCATAAGGGAGCTAAGGGAGAAGGAAGCAAAGGAGGAGCCGAGGTGCTGGGAACAAGGCAGGAGGATGCGTGTGCACAGCCCCAGCCTGCGGCACTGCGGGGTTCTGGGCTTAAGAAGTCCTCTTGCAAAGTATAAAGGGATGGGGAAAAGTTAGTGCCACCAAACACCCACGCAGGAGTAGATTTCCTAGCTGCACAGAGAAGATGGCATCTCATTCTCAAGGGGAAGAAGGGGACCTAGAGAAAGTGCTGGCTGAGAGGAAAGGGAAGACGACAAGGGAAGAAACCCTGGAAGGGGATTCAGAGTGAGAAGTGCTGCCAGGTGAGTGCGAGGTAGGGGACCTACCCCTGAACTTCTCCTTTCCCAGCTGCTTATGGCAAGTGAGTCCCTTTTCAGCCATCCTCAACATTTTTTCTTGAGAACTTCCTGGAGATAGCGGGCAACTTCTGTTGCTGATTCCCAGGCTACAATAGTGGCCTGGAAGGCTCCAGGTTGCTTCTTCTCCATCTCTTGGGCCATCTGGTGCATGGGGTAGCTTTTCCGTGGGAAAGCAACATCACTGGAAGTCAAAGCGACAGAAGGGCAGAAGTCATTGGCACCATCACCAATGTAAAATACCCTCTCAAACTCCACGTCCTCCTGGGCTCTTTCGGATAGATATTCCGTTAGGATTTTGCGCTTGCACATGTTGGCTGGGCACTCAAGGCACTTGTGACTGTGGTAGGGCCCCAAAGTAAAATAACCCCGCTTGTCAAAGCCCGACGGGTTGCTAAAGATTTTGCGGAAGAGGGAGTAGACACCAGCTGCCCTCAGAGCACATTCGATGCCAAAAATGTTGGCATCAGAGATGAGGATGATCTCGAACATCTCATGGTTCTTGGAGAGGAACTGGAAGAGCTCAGACATGCCAGGGGATAGGGGGATGCTCTCATAGACAGTCTTGAAGTCTCCCATCTTGACTCCCTGGTCCCCCATGTAGGCCAAGACACGCTGCATGTATTCATTGTAGAAGCCGTCACGGAAGGTTTGGCGGATATGCTCAGGAAGTTCCTGTCCTGGCGCAGCCCTGATGATGGAGTCATCGCTGTTCTCATTGATGATGGTCTCATCGAAGTCAAAGATGAGGAGGTATTTTGGAGGCCGAGGGCTGGCCATACCAACGCCCTGCAGGTTGAAAGAAGAAGGCTCATCAGTTATCTCAGGACACTTCACCTCGGACACATTTAGGGCAACAAGCACGAGAGCAAGAGGTTGACCACTCCACAAGCAATGTTACTTAGATAAATTACTGCCGTCTGTTTGTCTCCGTTTATCTGTTCAGGCTAGCTGGGGAGAGAGATTAATCCACCCCAGCATCCCTTGCCCTGACTCTAAGACGTTTATCCTTCCTATAAAGAGATCATTTTGTCACTGCTAATCCCGTCACTGCAGCCAAGAGAGTCACTGTGCCAAGCAAGGACTGTGTGACCCTAAGGGATGGTTTTGTGCAGCTCCCATCGCTGCAACCAACGAAAAATCATTTCCACCTCTGCAAACTCCCTTGAGTTTTGTGGAATGGGGGCTGTTTTTCTGCTTCCTAAAGCTGGGAAGAGACATCCCTGCACAGAGAGGACAAAGCAGAGAATTGCACTGACCTTAAACAGGCACGGCAGCCCGACACCCTCGCAGCACCTTTTCATTTTAGCATCATTCGCCAGACGTCACAGTCCTGATGCTTAAGGGCTCGCTTGAGGTGGCCTCGGCACTGCAAACCGCAAGGGTAATTTTGGTTAATCATTTGGTTTCCCCCCTGCTCCTACCTTTGGGCACTGCATCAGAAAAAAATCACAGTCATTGTCCCCGCTGCCACCGCCCCTGGAGGGGACCTGCTATCGTGTTAAGTCCTCAGTGTCCAAACTCGTGACCCTTTGTGCTAGGAACTGAGGAATTAAAGTTATAGGGAGCAGGATGAGTGGGCAGAGGCTGCTTAGTGCTTCAGATCCCTCTTAGCTCCGAGCGCCTAGTGTTGGCTGTGCGGGAAAGGGACCTGCCAGATTGCTTATGAATGAGCACCTACAAGAGCCGCCCTTCTCCCTAATTGCCCTGGGTTTGTTCCACGATCTTTTTTTTTTTTTTTTAAGAGAGTAATTATTCTGGCAAGGAGATCCTGGCAGGGCAGCAGTGGGGAAGGAGCAGTGCCAGGCGGGCACCAGGCACCAATTTCTCCTGAATTTTGCCGACCTCTTGTGGTCCATCCTGAGAAAACCAGAGTGATGGATACCAACACCAAATACTGTTTGTTCCAGATTTGCCTCATTGTAAACCCAGCATCAAACCATTTTGGCCACAAGCAGCTCCAGACTTCTAAAATAATCAAGCAATTCAAGGCAATTCAAGGAGATTGTGGTGCAGAAGGGAGCGGTCGCTCAAAACGAAACAGGAAGGATTTATTTCTTCATGAAAGTATCCATTAAAAAGCATGTTTATTTACAGATATATTTTTGGAGGGGACCAAATCATGCTACACCCAGTCTGGAAGTAAAATTAGATGCCTGGATTTTCAGAGCCAAACCAAGAAAAAAGGAAAACAAAACAAAAACAAAAAACAACAACAACAACAATTATTCTTCATGATTCTTCTTCTTTTGCTCATGATATTCTAAGGAATTGGCCAGGCTGAAAAAAAAGGATGCATTCATGTTGCCATCAAGCCAGCACAGCACAAGAGCATGGTGCAGCAGGAGAAGCCCCAGTTCCTAGGCCTAACATGTATATATTGTACCTTGTGAATCAGAAAAACCTACAGGAACTGATCTCCAATTCCCAAGCAGGAGCAGATTAGGTCAAAGCCAGACATCCTGAGCAGACTTTTTCCTTTTAAGTCTCTTTAGTGCTTTTCATCTAGAGTACCTCAAGCACCTTGCACGCAGTCACCTCTCGCAGATTAAAGTTTAGTTACGTGAAAAAAAAAGAAAAAAAAAAGAAAAAAAACACCCCACCTTACGAGTCAGAAAAAAAAAACACCTTTCTGATTCATTTTAACCCTGTATCTTACAAGAAACGACCAGCATGAAGTCTGGAACAGCCCTTCACCACCCAGATCATGTGTGAATTTGCCTATGGCTGAGCTTTTTGCACTTGCTTCCCACCTCCCAGACCTCAATCTCCTCTCCTGGAGGGACAGGTGCCAAAGGTGCTTCCATCGGGAACATTCCATTTGCTCCCAGGCCAGACGCGTGGGTATTGCAGCTCTCAGCATTGCACGGCTGATGCTTTGCCTAGGCTCTGGGCCAAGCCGTTCCCAACACCACCAAACCCCGAGCAGGACGATTGGAGGAGGCTTAAAATCCCTAGCAAGCATCTCTGCTCGCTTTCCCCATTAAACACATCTCCAAGCACGTGGGGTCAGTGCACACAGCTGGCCTTCCCGCAGAAGAGACCCTGTCCTTAACACAGACACTGTTTTGTCCTTCTTTGGCCCTGGCCACAGTCCCCAAGCCAGTCTGGCCGCAGAGCAAGTGGCCAACTGGCAGGAACAGCTGATCCTGCCACATGGGCAATGCACCCCAGGAAGCGGCCAGAAAGGAAAAGCAAAGAGTCCCAATGGTCTTCCCGGGACGCTGCTGCTGGGCAAATCTCACCACACAACTCCCATTGCAACCTGCAGCCAGGAGGCCAGAGGCTTTGGGGATGCAACCCGTGATGGTTTGGGGACGGGTTCAACCGAGTCGACACGGGCCTCGGCTGCCCCCACGCGACGTCCGCCCAGTCTGGCCAGAGGGTTATTTATTTATTTATTTATTTAGAATCTGGCAAGGAATTTGAACCCTGCAGCTCAGCAGGGGACTGAACGTCCCACCAGGGCTATTTATACGCAGGGATGACTCACCTAACGGCTTCTTCCCGGCGCAGCGTTGTTCGACCTTCTGCAAAAAAGGGAATCCCTCCAAAATAAAACAAAAGCGGCTGCACTTCCTAACATTATGCAAAGCCTGAATGTTGAAACAGAAAAGAAAAAAAGAAAAAAAAAACAGAGATTTACTTAAATATTGCAGCAAATACAATGGCTCAAATGTCTTAAAGTGGTTTATACCCCAGATCTTAGCGCTTTTGTGCCCCCCTCAGGCAGGAGCTCTGAGTGTTCGGAGGATTTTCCTGCTCAGAGGAGGCGCAGGGGGGGAAAGCTGGATCGAGCACTGCTGCCCACCCCGATGTATCTCTGTGAAAGGGCACTTGGAAGGGCCGGACACAGCTTTTGGGGGCTGCTCAGGGATTGCGGAGAGGAAAATTCAACTCGTGCTAAACCCACACTCACTTCCCAGCCCGGAGAAGGGGCAGGAATATCAAGCTCCCACTTCCCACTTTGGATGAGTTTCTAAACCATCCTTATCCTCATTCTCGCACGTGAGATGACCCCAGGGCTCCTGACACTGACATTCACCTTTGGCAAACCTTCCAGCTTGCTCCGAGGAGAGTATGAAAAAAACAGGGTAGATTCTTGTTGTCCCAAAAGCAAAAGGGAGGAACAAAATCCCTCCCTGCCCCATGTCTCTCACAGTGGCACCATTGGGCAATTCTGCTGCTGCTGGAATAAAATACGTCCTGGCTGGGACCACAGTTTTACGCCACTCCCGAAGCAGGAGCTGATAAATTTAAAACAGCTAAATCAGTCGTGCAGTTTGGAGCAAGGGAAGGTGCCATGGACGTCAGCTTTGAGCTCCAGGAGCACTCGGACAGGGGTTTGCTGTGCCAGCTTGGGGCAGCATCGCCCCAAACTTCCCGGCTCCTGCACTTCCCAGAGCTTTCCTGGGATCTGAATGCTCCTGAGAGCCACTGAACGCTTCAAGCCTGCGGGAAGCGATGGGAACTTGCTGCTCCCAGGACGAAACTTCCTTTCCCCTTTGAGGATGAGGCTCCACGAACAGCTTCCTCCTGGCAGGGAGCAGCAGCAAAGCTGCCCCGGCCCGATGGAGATTTGCTGACGCGGTCCTGGCTCGGGTCAGCTCGGGTGACAGGGATGGGTTTTTTTTATTGCTGTTTATTTTTTGCCTGGCCTGTCAGGAAGGGAGATGCAGAGAAACGGAGACCACGGCTCCTGCACAAGCTTTGTCCTTGTAGCCCCCAGCTCATGCCAGATCCTTGGCCCCCAAAACACGATGCTTCCCCCGGCATCGCCCGCTGTGGGTTTTACCAACTCTGAATTTGCGGTGCAGCTGCAGCCTCTAAATTTAGCATTCGCTGCTGGTCTTTTGCTTCAAAGCTGTACTGTATCTTTTTACCCAAATCCCGTTTTTTGCACTTAATATCCCAGAGCACCCGTGAAGGGACCTCTGGGTGTTTCTGCTCCTCTCCATCCCAGGCTGAGCCCGGATTGGGGTTTCACGCTTGGAATTGGGGAGCCGCAGCAGGAGGTGCCTGGGATGCTCCCTCTGGACCGAACCGGTAGTGCGGATGCCTCCCGGAGTCGACGCCATTCCCAGTACCGCTGTCCCAAGCATGCAAGTATCGGGCAAAGGGCGGTTCCGGTACCGGCGGCACCGGCACCTCCTCCCTGACGTGCCGCATCCCGGCGCCGCCGCCCCGCGCCGCTCCCGGTACCGGCCCCGGCGCAGA